ACCTGGCTCGATCTTTTTGGTTTAGGGGTTTAGGGGTTTAGGGGTTTAGGGGGTTTAGGGTTTATGGTTCTACTTGGAGGTTCATGGGTAGTTATAAGGCTCCTTTAAGGGATCTATAAGAGGGTTCTATAAGGGCTCTATAAGGTGTCCTATAAGGGGTCTATAAGGGGTCATACTTGGAGGTTCATGGGTAGTTATAAGTAGGGTAACTATAATTATAACCCCTATTAGGGGACTTATAACCCCACTTCCTCAACTGTCTGGTGCTTAGTAGGGAATGGGGGAATGGATCCCTATGATCGTCCCTTAAGGTCCCTTATAGTAGTCCCTGAAACGCATTCCCCATTCCTTACTAAGCACCAGACAGTCAAGGCATCCGTAGTTCAGGGGCGCCCAGGGCCTTCGAAGAGGGAATGTGGGTCGGATCGATGTGTGAAGACGTGCTTTAGGCCTCTGGTCAGAGGCAGGGTTGCCGCCCATATTCTCACGCAGGCATGTTGCGGAAGCCAGAGAAATCTGCCAATGTCAGCTTTAGGTTGTTGTTTCACCGTATTCCGGATTCGTCGTTTGAGGTCTTTTTGCTCATCATGGCCCATCTGTCGTACGGCACCACGGCACTGGAAGCGCAAGTTCTTGGGTTCTCTCGAGATTGGGGGTTTCAGAAAACAGGCAACTCCTAAAGGGAGCAGCAACCTGGTACGAAGGACCATGAGAACTCGACGAACAAATATAAAAAGGACTTTGAAAACCCACACTCCTCAAGTGTGACGCCGGGGCCACCAGCTGCCTCGACACTTCGTGAACAGCTGCTTCATCCCTCTTCTGCAAGCCGTACTGCATCCGTATTGTGAGAAGGACCACGATCGAGAAGGTTTAGAGTTGGCGCATCAGCAGCAGTCGTAGCAGTTTCAACTTCACCGCTCGTTCTTGCAGACTCCATTTCCAGAAATTCTGCGCTCACCGAAGATGTCGCCGCTCCCAACCGAGGCAGCCTACAGCGTGGTGTGGCTCCCTGGACAGGGGAGCGCCTGAGTGCGGCCTTGGAGGAGCAACCAAGCAGCTTGCTAGGCTTCAGCTGCTTTGAAACATGGTGTCAGACTCCAATGAGTCGTAGCATTTTCACTCCTTGCAGCCTGCTGCAGGACAGGAACGAGCTTATGGAGCAAAAAATTCGAGATGAGGCAAGCGGGGCCGAGGGAACTCATGTTGTTGATCCGGATTTCCCCGGGCTGCCGCAGATGTCTGCAGCTTCTGGCAGCCTTGCCTGCTTTTGGTGCAAAGTGGTGTCTCGCCTTTGAAGGATTCGAAACAGAAGATTCTCAGTATGTTCTCACCCCCGGGGGGTGTCGTGTCCTTGCTACTGATGGCCATGTGCGTAGTGTTTGTCGACATGGGTACCGACTACGATGACATCAGGAAGACTTCCGGGTGCTTAACTGCTTTGCTTTAAAGGAGCTGGCAAAGTCCCGGGCGGCTTTGTGCATGTGATTTCGGGGGATTAACTACTTGGAGGTTCATGGGCAGTTTCAAGTGGGGTTATAAGTCCCCTAATAGGGTTATAGTTGTAGTTACCCTACTTCTAACCCTACTTATAACTACCCATGAACCTCCAAGTAGCTGCAACTAGCTGGCAGCAACTATTACGGTTGCCCCCTACCACTGCTACTGCTACTGCTTCTTCTGCTGCTATCGCTACCGCTACTGCTGCTACGACGACTACTACCACTACCAATTGCGAATTGCTACAAAAAATACTACTGCTTCCGCTACTACGACTACTACTGCTGCTGCTGCTGCTGCTGCTGCAGCAACAACAACTACTAAACTATTTGTACTACTATTGTTACTGCTACTTCGACTGCCATTTCTGTTGATCTTACGACTACGCATAATAATAATGTGAAGACGGTGATTGGCAATAATCCTAAGTTTGGGCTTCGCAATGCATACTTCAAAGGAAATCGTACTGTTCTATGTGAAACGAGAACACCGAGACTGTGTCATGCGATTGCGCACTGTAGCATTTTATCTACAGTAAACGCACAACGTTTTATAGCAAACATTTAGCCCAAATTATGCATCGGTGTACAAATTTCCACATGGTAACATGTCGTATGCAGCATGTAATGCTCAAAGAAATCCCGCCGGTTACAGGCCGACTTCTCGCACGATTTGGCGCTTTTCCGGTTGGTTGTTCCACACTGCGACGCCTTCAACGATGTCTTTCCTGAGTTAGATGACATCCAGGCGAGGAGATCCGGGGACCGAACCGTAGAGGCATGCAGGGCAAGACACTGGGATTCTTACCTTCAAGGCCGTGGTAGCAGAAGCCCTTCAGTCAGGAAGCCGTCGTAGTATTTAGGGTTTAGGGTTTAGGGTTTAGGGTAGAATGTTGCTCAGAGACACCGAATGCTAACCATCGAGTTTCCATTTTCAAGCTTTTCAGCCCTGAGGATGTCGACGATGCTCGTCTCCGCGAGCTGTGTGTGGCCTGCGAGTTCCTCACTTCGAGAGCCAGGCAAAACCTAACGGAACTGTGCAAAAATTTCAATTTTCAAACGTATGTAGAAACAGATAGACAGATAGATAGCTGGATGGATGGATGGGGTTGACTGAAGGTTTAGAGCAAGCTCCAAGAACTCGTCGGAGCATTGTGCCTGTCTTGAAGGGTGGCGATCCAGTGCGACGGCCTGGAAGAGACTGGCATCGAGGCGCCAAGCTTGTGCGAAACGTAGGGTGTTCATCATGTGACTTAAAATCGTACCTACAATTATCATCGTAACAGTTATGTTAATGCAAAGAATTTCTTCAGGAAAATGTAAAATAGTACAGTGAAACATAGGATCAGTATTGCAAATGAGACTCATCGCGCTATCAACAACTATTGTCATAATGGTAATATTAGCAATAACACACGCACACACATCGTACAGGTAGTGGTACCACCAAACAAGTGAAAATGGTGATCGTACGATTGATCATACAAGCAACAAAAATAGTAATTGCAACAACAAGCACAAAAGATCAATAGTTGTAACCATGAGTTTCATCATAGTGAAAGAAATCGTAATATAAGGGTACTATAAACAGTGCTACTACAGGTGAAAGTATTACTACCAACAGCAATAGTAGCAGCAATGGCAAAAGCACTAAACATACTAGCAAGAACCATGATAGCCTTGATGATGATCTTAATGAACACCCTTGCGTCTTGGACAGGCGGTGGGGGAGGCACTCCGGAGTAGCCCAGGAGTGCAACAGGTCTGCGTGGAGGCCCGGCCGGTTTCTGAACAGCTGGCAATGAGAAATGGGGGTTTCCGAAATAGGGGACCCTAATATAGTACCCTAATTAATAGGATCCTTATTATAAGGACCCCAAAATAAGGTACCCAAATTCTCGGAAAGTCCCAAATCTGTTTTTGCCTGACCAGGCCACGGCCGTGGATGCAGAGTGCGCCAAGGTCTGCACATGAAGTTGAGTACTTGGAGGTTCATGGGTAGTTATAAGTGGGGTTATAGGGTTCCTTTAAGGGTTCAGGGT